TCCCTAAGAGCTGTTTGAAAGAGGAGAAGCTGAAGATTTCACAGACAGGATAGGCTGAATAAATAGGTAGTGAAAGGATTTGTGCAAATATACCCAGGTGGTAGAAAAACACACAATGCAAATCAAGCCTGGCTTGATTGCCTACTGTACTGCAAAGTATTGTATTGTGGGTTATGCATGGCCAGTATCTGGGAAACAAAACCCCTTCCTGGCCCACGGGGTGTCGTCTTGTTTGTGTTTTGGACTTGACCACAATGTGAAGCAGGGCTGCCCCCAGATCTTTCCGTAACGATGCAGATGGTCTATATCAGCGGTTCTCAACCTGTGGGTCGCGACCCCTTTGGCGGTCGAACGACCCTTTCACAGGGGTCGCCGAAGACCATCCTGCATATCAGATATTTACATTACGATTCATAACAGTAGCAACATGACAGTGATGAAGTAGCAACGAAAATAATTTTATGGTTGGGTCACAACATGAGGAACTGTATTTAAAGGACCAGAAGGTTGAGAACCACTGGATATGGTCTATATGTGCGTGGTCCAATATGGCAGCCACGGACCGCATGTGGCTACCGAGCATGTGAAATGTGGCTGGTGAGACAAGGAACGGCTGACTTCTACATTTTATTTTAATTCATTTAAATTTAAAGTTAAATAGCCCCATGTGCTAGTGGCCACAGTATTGGACAGCTCAGTTCTGGGCGTTTGCTGCCTTGATGTTTGGATGGATATTCTGACTTCTTAAACCACTGCAGGTTACTTGAAGAGGCTTTATTGTAGCCTCCAAAGTTTGTGTGGAGAAACGTAGGATGGCCAGAACAATGAAAATGTTTATGTTGCGTAACCACCTTCACCTTTGCCTTACCTCACTTTCCCGGAGATCCAGGTGATCTCACTGATGTAAACACCCTGGCTCGGGCAGGCCTGGGGCAGAGCCAGCTGCTGCTGGGATCAGGTGCACTGTCACCTTCCAAAGTCAGGCTGGGCCCTTGTGACCTGCAATCTAAATATTTAGTTGTTCGGTTGATGATGGTGAAAGGACAATCATCCTTGTCCTATTAACAGAGTAAATGGTGCTCTTGAAAAACGGAGATCTCGTCTCTACTTTCTTTGCCAGTGAAGTAAATGCGGTATCTCCTCAATCCTTGAGATTTGAACATCCCCTCCAGCAAGGATACAGGATCTTGGAAGAGCAGAAGGGCCCAGGACGTCTCTTTTCATAGAAGGTTGCCGTCCCCAGGTCCTGGGCTAATCATTTTCATCATTTTCTATGGGGAAATCTGGGCTCCAGTCCCTTCCCGTGAACACGCCGGTGCCCTGTCTGTCGCAGCCAACTCCTCTAGGCCAGCAGCTGTCCCGGGGAAATGAGTTCCTGCTCATATGGAGAGACCACTTCACTTTTCAGTCTACTAACTCATCCAGCTTCCAGGTGGTTATGTGGAGCTGATGTTTATTTATTTCCCTGTCAAATTCTAATCTGATTAAACAGTTCAAAAGGTTGCACGTAGCTTTGAAAAGGGTCTAAAATGAAGTTGCCGCTTAGGTTGGCTTGTAGAAATCTGGCCCGGGGCTGAGCTGAGGTGGAAGAAGGTATTCTAGAAGCATCAGAACCTGCCCTTCCACTGACACCCGCTGGAGTATCATTTGCAAGAATAGTTGAACACCAAGGCAATTTATAATGTAATCTAATGTTAGTATGACATTGAAGCGTCTCACTCGTTCTCATAATGATCCCATGAGATAAGCATGATAATAAGTATCTCCTTGGTGGGACACTGAAGTGCTTAGAAGGAGCGCGGTTTGTGCCCGAATTCACGCTGCAGTGTGGACAGAGCTGGCCCTCGGTGAGAAGTGTGCTTTCTCCTAGGCCACACCACCAACTAACCATGGTCAGGAGGCACCAATCCACAGAACATCTCAGCACAGGCGCCATAGTCACTGCTTCATCTTAGATTGAGATTGAACACAAGCTCTGCCTGACCAGAGCTTAAAGCCACTGGCTGTGATGAGGGAGTCATGTCATAATGCAGTGGCCACCACGTTAACTGTGCACTTGGGGATCTGCCCGCCTCTAGGCAGGTGTCGGGAAATTACAGCTTGATTACTTGCCGCTAAATGCCTGTGGCTTGACAGTCAATGCCTCGCTTATTCCAGGCTCATCAGAATTGGACAGTCTGAGGCTGGGTTAAGGAATGAGAATCACAGTACATGTCAAATTGCAATACGTATGTGTTAAGTGATGGGAACTGCAATCCGTGTCAAAATTTGGTAGTGGCATGCTTCACGTCATGACTGTACAGTGGGAAAATGTCCATGGATTAAGCAATCCGCTTTCATACTACCCACTCAGGCCGAGAGTGAACTTGCCTTCAGAAACCAGAGGCAAAACGTTCCTTAGAGTTTTCAGGCACAGAAATCTCTAGAAGGAAATTACTCGGGAGGATGTTCACCTAGGGAAGAGGGCTTTGGTTAGGTTTAAACAGCTGCTCTTTCTCCTGCCCTTTTCTGACTGACCAAGGATCTCTTGCACTCTGGTGCCTGATGTGGCTTCCAATACACCGAGCTCAGAAAACTGGATCAGTCTGCCTGGGTTCTCTTGGCGAGGTGCCAATGTTCTTTTTCAGAGCCTCCTCGTGGAGACTAGCTCCAGACCTCCCTGCTAAGGAGAATCCTGTAGGAGGAGCTTTGATACATCCTTCATTCCCCCGGGATTTGAGATATAGCAGGGCAGGCCCAGACTGTGAAGGTTTAAGAACAACCAGCTCTTCATAGACATTGAGGTTGGGATCCAAACCTGGGATGGGTATTCTGCAAACCATGATCCTGGGGCCTGAGGATTTCTGGGATCTGGTTTGAGTCTCATAAGGGATCTCTGGCTTCACTCGTACCCAGCAAACGTTGAAGGATGGAGCCGGAAGGGATCAACGTTATGAGCACACAAGTCAGATGGCTGTTGAAATGTTGCGTTCGGTGACATCTCTCACCCTGCTCTTCCTGTGCCTTTGTATCCAGAGGCAAATCCTCTAGTGTCCCCCAAGGAATACCTGTCATACAGAGAGCCAAGCGGGGGTGAGTTTCACTGTGGAAAATTCTGATTTTGTCACTCTTCTTGATAGAGAAGATGCGACCTTGAAGGCTCGTGTACAATCAAGGCCCCAACCCTTGGGGTATCATTATCTGGAAAGAATTAGGATTACGTAAATAATGTTGTTTTGAGTTCTCTGACATTGAATACTCCTGTCCTTGTACTTTGGAATAGAAATTGCCAGTTTTAAGCACTTTTACCACCTATTTTTATCTTTATTTCATAATTACTTTTCTATGGACAACTATGTCCTTTGTAGATGTGGTCTGAGTGTTTTGCATTGATGATTTAAAGAATGAATAATTTTTACAGCTAAAGAAGAAAAAGATAGGAATCTGTTACCAGCTTGTCCCCCAGATAAGTTTGTGAAGAGGAGCATGAAACTTCAAGTCCTAGAATATTTCAAATGCATGAGCTTTGCCATACAAAACAACCATGACTATCTTGGGTCTTTGCATGAAAATGGAAGAACCCTGCTGCTCATTGCTTAATAAATCCAATCTAGAGAGATTGCTATATGCTAACTATTTGGCTTAAATTTACATTACTTGAAAAAAAAATCTGTCCTTGGTTTTTGTTCCTAAGTGCAAAAATATAAGAAGCTACCTTAATGCTAAAAACGTGTTGTTCTAGCCAGACTAGATTTAATTTTTGGATTAACCTCCCTCCCTAAGTTTCATCAGCATCAGGCATCACATTTTGTCCTTGAGTAACAGGAAAGATCCAGGCAACATGTTCTTCTCAGGGCTGCCAATATTGTTAGTCTCTGTCACCCTCAGACTCTAGGAGAAATCTTTTATCGTGTGATTGTATGTTCCTTAATAGGGAGTATAGATCTCTCCCAGGGATGCAGCTCCATCCATGAACATCAATCACTGATGATTTCAGGTGTACTTTGAACATTAAATAACCCAGTGTGAACATCCTAGATTAGAGAAGAAATCCCAACAAGAAGTTGATTGATATCAGGTATCCAGGACCTATCTCGGGGATCCATACCGCCAACAGAAAAGAGAGTCCATCCTCTAGAGTATGTTTCAGGCATAAAATATTAAATAAGACTTTATAAAAGGCATATTACTCATCTTAAATCAATTCACCATGCTAACAATGGGTGTTGAATGCCACTTGTGGTATTCAGCTTACATAGGATAAGGAAGATGCTTACACAGATAAGCGCTTACACATGAAATATGATCATACAGCTCCGTGGTTCAGAGAACCCTCTCTGGGCTCAGACTGCCTGCAGCAGAATCCCTACCCTACCACATACTGGCTGTAAAATCCGAGGTGAATTTTCTTAACTTTTCTAAGGCTCGGTTTTCTCCTCCATAAAGTGAGGCAAATAATATATAGAGATTTAAGAAAATTAAATAAGCTAATATGTACAAAGTACCTAGCACAGTGTGAACATTGTAAGCACTCAAATAATGATAACTACTCACTACTACTGTTATTGTCACCATTCTCATATTGCTATTATATTATATTGCTCTTTTTATTTACTATTATCATCCTAGACACAAATATTTGTACAATGGCTAGTTATTATGGGATGCAGTTATTATTGCATTTTACTCTCTTCATTTAAAATAAAAACTGGATTTGCAGTTTAATGGGTTAGACTGTAAGGAAAGAAGAGGGAGGCTGAACCAGGGTGAAGAGAAATCATGTGGCCGGGGGGTGGTACCCAGAATGGGAGCTCCTGCCGTTGCCTCTTCCTGCCCTGACCTTTAACCTTTAGGATTCTTTAACATCTCCTTTTTGTGTGGGCTTTTTCCCAAGTAACACACACACACACACACACACACACACACACACACACATACACATACACGCGCACACGCGCACACACACGCGCACACGCGCGCACACACCCCAGCAGGAGAATGTCTTCCAGAGTTCTAAGTACCTGTTTGGAAGATGACCCGTTTAATAACCAGGATCTCTCCACATTTGTCTCTTGCCCCCCAAATTGATCTCGTTTCTTCTCATTTGAGTCTCTTCTGTATTCCTGTCCTCTCAGACAAGCCTGGAGAACAAAAGAGGGTGGGTTGTTGTTTTTTTTTGTCATCTTGGGTCTATGACTAGCTTTGATAACTTTATGCTTCCTATTGTGAAGAATGTGAAATAAAGCAATGAAATAAATACACGATATATATCTGCAGGGTTGATCAATACCTGTTACCAGTATGAACACTCTCGCCCAGGCATCACTCTCTCTTCCCTTTGCCCAAAATGCCAGGTGAAACATATTAGTCATTGCTTTCATAAATTCAAACAACAAACATACTGAGAGGCATTTTGTCAAATATTTACCCAACAATTGCCTTCTCGAGGAAGGAAGTACCTAATGGACCATATTAACGTTTCTTTCTGGTCTCTTTCTCTTCATAGCTCCTCCTTCATACTCACCTCCACTCTCCTCTGTCCCCTTGGATTTCACCCTTGTTACAAGGAGAAGAATTTTCCTACTCAAGACCTTTAGCACATGCTGTTCCTTCCACTGGGAATGCCTTTCACAGGATGTTCTCTTGACAAATTAGGAACTAGCTGGGTGGCGTCTCAGGTTTCCCCTGCCTCACTGCTCTTCCCCAGGCCAACGTCATTGCTCCTTTATACATATAAAGCTTGAATTATGCGATTTCGCCCCTATTATATTTATATTTTGAGCCTGTTTCTCCTGCTGATCAGTGAGAACCCTCATGGTAAGGACCATTTCTTATCTTTTGAATCCCCCAATATCTAGCATTTAATGCTAACTGAATTGCATTTTTGTCCAGGAGGAAAGTAATCCCCAAATGTTATAAAAACATAATAAAAATAATATATATTTTTTTCATTTAAAAAAAATGAAAAGAAAATCTACTTCCAAAATATTTCTCCTCCAGTATGGGGACTGGACAAACCCAAGAATATCATGTGCTATGAGGATTTAAACTGATGATTTAAATACCCCCAAAGAGTAAAACTTCTTAGATAATTTCTACTAGGTTTGTAGAGCCAGTGACTGGATTCACCATGGCCCAGCCAGAGCCAAATTATCCACTATCATAGTAAAGAAAGGCGGTGTAAAGACCAACAGTATTGTTTCTAAACTAGGCCTGACATGTCCGCCTTCCTGCTGGATTGAGAAAGGGAAGATTTCTTGGGCATTTTTAAAAAATATATATTTTATTGATTTTTTACAGAGAGGAAGGGAGAAGGATAGAGAGCTAGAAACATCCATGAGAGAGAAACATCGATCACCTGCCTCCTGCACGCTTCCTACTGGAGATATGCCCACAACCAAGGTACATGCCCTTGACCGGAATCGAACCTGGGGCCTTTCAGTCCGCAGGCCGATGCTCTATCCACTGAGCTAAACCGGTTAGGGCTCTTGGGCATTTTTTGACTTCTGTTGGAAAAGCATCCCCTTCCTTGATGTAGAAGGACTTGCCAGGGTTTCCCGCCACGGGGAAAGCCTAATATGCTACAAGGTTAAGAATAGAAATGGCCTGATATTAACCACACATTTCCCACTTGGGAAACCAGGGAGTCAGTTACACTCTGCTTCTCAACTGAGTTGCAGGGGAAGCACTGGCCTCCAGGCTCGCGCATGGTGGCCGGTTGGTTACCTGCCGCAAGTAGGATCCCGGCTTCCCAAGAGAAATGCGCGGTTTCACCCGCCTTGCTTGGAAAGGGTGAACACTCCAAAATGGCTGTTTTTCTTTCTCACAGCTAACCTTATCTCCAAAAACTATTCCATATAGACAGTAAGCCACTGTGATAAATCCTGGGCCGTGTTTGTTTTCATAACTAATTTATTTATTTATTTATTTATTTATTTTTAAAAATATATTTTATTGATTTTTTACAGAGAGGAAGGGAGAGAGACAGAGAGTTAGAAACATCGATGAGAGAGAAACATCGATCAGCTGCCTCCTGCACATCTCCTACTGGGGATATGCCCGCAACCCAGGTACATGCCCTTGACCGGAATCGAACCTGGGACCTTTCAGTCCGCAGGCCGACGCTCTATCCACTGAGCCAAACCGGTTTCGGCTCATAACTAATTTAAACAGAAAACTCAAAAAACACTGGACAGAAACTATATAATAAATAAGATAAGCACCCAAGAGAGTTTAGCTGGAGAGCTTAGAGAAGTAGCTAAGTACAGGCCTCTCTTTTCCTGTTCCTTCTACAATGACTTGTGATGGGAGCCCCAGCTTGGGAGGAGGCCTGGCTTGGCCCATTGTTTCCTGATGCAGCAGATGTCTGTGTTACCCTAACCTACTGGTATCAAAGGAGCAAGAAAACGCTGATGGGCTGAAAGTGGAGGAACCCGTCTTAGCTAATGCTCGCAGGACCCAGGCAGATTTTGTGGGATGAACAGAATTCTTGTGGGCTGAGTGTTTTTTGAAAATTCTCTCCAAGAATGCATGCGACTTACATATTTCTTTACCAAAAGGGGATGAGGAATGGAATGATTTACAGTGTTGAAAAAAATGTTTTTCTCCTCTGGTTCCTGATCCCTTCTCTCATAGAGGAGCAAAGAGCAAACCAGTGGCAAGGTAGGTCCTTCCAATTATTTTCTTTTGATCCAGCCAAGCCATCTTTCTACGTAAATCAAACATTAAACCTCTCAAAGCCACAGCTTTGCTGAGGAGAAGGAACACAGGGACAGAGCCACGTCCAGGCTTCCAGTCCTAGAAACAGCAAGAATCCAGTCCTACTCCACCCAGGGGCTAGTTCTCCTGTTATTTGTAAATGTCAATGATGTTTTTGTTGTTGACATTGTTGTTGATGCTGACGTCATTTCTGCTCAGGGGCGGGACCTGAAGTGACAGGAGCAAAGGAGTGTGACATCACGGGATGGGGAGGAGGAATGGACTTGTAATTCACAGTCACCAGGGGCTCCCCTTATTCGGAACTTCCAAATTTTTCCCTTTCAAATTCACGTGCCTGGAGCTAGGTTGCTATAAATACATTTCTGTTCATGTGACATAACTGGCTGGGGGCAGTCTTGAAGCTGAAGGCGCGTCAGGTGACTTCTTATTCTTTCCTTTTGGGGGAGGATCAGGGCTTCCTCCTTCACTCTTTCTTGGTGTTCCCCCTCTGTTCCCCCTCCCCGCCCTCCCCCCCCAACCCCCCTTGAGCTCATCCCTCTGATTACAGCTCACGCAGACAGGCTGCCTTCTGTGCAGAAGCCACCACTGTGGGGGCAGAACACAGAACACAGAAGGTGCATCTACGCCCGTGGGGGATGACGTGGGTTTCGTGACTCACTGTAACTCAATCCTGGTAAACACAACGAACCCCAGCTCTGCCACTTTCTAGCATCGTGACCTTGGGCAGCTGACTAACTCCATTGATTCTCACTCCCCTCATCTGTCAGAGGGGCATGTGAGACGGCCTCGTGCTGCCAGAGTGTTGGGGAGCCCAAGGCACTGCTGGTCAGATGCTTAGCAGAGTGACTGGCTCATGGTGCACGCCCAATAAAAGACACTCATCACCACCACCACCATTATGATCTTAAGAGTATTTTAATTGTTTCCAATCCCATTTCTTGGTTTACTTCTATTTCTGAAGCCAGCCTTTGCCAAATAATGTGACTCTGATTTTGGTCATGGAAGAAGAAAGACTCTTTCTGTTCAGGCCTGGACGTCATCCTTGTTTTTCTGTCCCAGAAGTAGACGTGTGTTTCTAGAGCCCGCTCCTCCCCTGGCAGCCAGCTGAGGAGAACCTGTTCTAGTCGCTCAGGTGCCCTCTGGAAGCCACCTCTTCTGCACATTACAGCTGTCTGAATCAACAGGGGTGCTCAAAGCCTCTTCTGGTTCTTTGATAACCAGTCTCCTCTTTTACCCGGCCTCCTGGTGCCTTAAGCAGCCACCAATGCACCACAGGAACATTTCTCAGCCTCATAGTTGTAGCATAAACACCATCCAAGGATCCACCTCTGCATCTCAGTCAACAGTGGCCCCGGTCAAGGTTATTGTTCCTCAAACTCCGCAAGCATTTTGGCAAGTGTCTTGAATTGGTTCTTTTTGGCTGCTGTTCTTTCGATCTAACATGCATGATCCAGAGTTTGGGGTTTTAATGATCACTGGTGACATGATTAAAATTCATTAGTTTTGAGAGGTTTTAAGTAATCAAAGGTGTAAAAACAGTTTGATGTGATATTGCTCTCAAATGACTTGACCTCAGAGGTGAGCAAGTAGGAAGGGAAGTTGAATTATCTCCATTCATTCCCTCAACCTTCTGAGTGGGCGGTTCCAAACCCTCACCACCAGGCATAGCCACCTGCCATGCCCTTGAACAAGTCTGTATCACGGTCAGTATTTGATCTGTACTTGAAGGAATTAGGACAAATAAGTGACATGAGATGAAACCCATTTAAATACATTAGATAGATTATGGAAAATCATTCCAAAATGCTAAGTGTCATCTTTCTCTCAAGCTTTCAGTGGACATTAATGGCTAAATTCTGCCTCGAGGTACATAAAAACACATTTGACCAAAAGAAGAAGGAAGAAAAAAAAAGCAAAAAGCTATGCAGCATGAACACCCTTGAAGAAATAGAGCCAAATTCTGAGATGGCATATAATTATGTACTAGTTACCAGATTCTGAAATAGCATGTAATATGCCAAAGAGATGTTTATTTCCTCTTATGTTTTCAAAAGGGTCCCACCCAACCACTGAAAGGAGTAGCATCAAAATAACTCAGGGCAGGCTGAACCCTCTCCTGCTACTACACACAGACCTGCAAAGGCACTGCTAATTTGGTGCATACCAACCCTTAGCATATTTTAGGATGTAGCAGGAATAGTGTGTACAGGAGGTTTCTAAGGGCTTCAATTTGAGCCAGTTCGTTTGAGCCAGTTAAACACAGGAAGGGACGTGTGGCCAAAGTATATGATTTAGGAGGCATATCTAGTTATTAGGTCTTACACTATTTGTACACCCAGAAATGGGGACTTCCTAGTGTTCAAGCACGTCACGGCACTGTGAGTGAGAGCTGGGATTTCTACAAGTAACAACCAAGTTCATCAATGACCCGGGGATTTAATATCCACCCAATGCAAAGTCTACCTTAGTAAATTATCTAAATACATATAGGTGGCATATGGACCAAGTTATTGAGGGGTCATTAAAGACATGCAATTGATTCTTAATCCCTTACTTGAAATCCTTTCTGGAACAAGGCAAGGGATAGATTAAATAATCTAACTCATTGTGGTTCCCTTTAAAGTATTTTCTGTGGGTTGCTATATACTTACTTCAACCAATACTCAGGATGTCTTAAAGAAAACCTGATTTATTTATTTTTTGCAGACCTTGTGGTGAGTGGCTTGGAAATGCTCCACTGAGGGTGGATTTGACTTGTAGGAATAGTTACAAGTCATCTGGGTCTAATCTGATAAGCAGAGTCAGTGGTCAAATTAAGTAACACCAGCTCTCACCCAAGACAAGGTGTTTGGTTCAACAGAGAAGAATAAGCTTCCACCCCTGCCCTTAAGAAGCTGTGGTTGAGTTTGAGAGGAAGTCACACAAAAGACAGTTTCACAAGCAATGGGAGAGAGGTATGAAAAGGGAGCTGTGGTACTGAAGTGACGGAAATGTTCTAAAATCGATGGTGGTGATAGCTGCAAACTTGGTAAATTTATTGAAAGTTATTAAATTATACACCTAAAACAGGTGAATTTTATAATATGTAAATTATAACTCACTGAAGTTTGTTTTTTTGTTTTGTTTTTTGAAAAAAGGTGCTATAGGAGTACAGAGGTTCCCTTTGACTCTAAATTAAAACGGGGCTTCTCACCATCCTTGTCAAGAGAGTAACATAAAGAAGGGTGAAGAAGAGGTTAGAGACATGATTGAGTTCAGGCTGTCTTGCTGTGGTTCTTGGGTCTTGGACCCGACCTTAAGTGAGGGAAACAACCGAAGGTTTTCATGCATTCCAATGGCACAGTCAAATTCACATTTTAGATAGATTTCAAGAAGCAGGCTGGAGGCAAGGAGACCGGTGATAAGGATATTGTAATAGTCTTGGAGAGAAATGACAGAGGGTGAAACCAGGGTGGTGGCAATAGGATAAAAGGAAGACACAAGGTCATGAGCTTTTCAGTAAACTTGGCAGGAGCGGGTGATAGTGGGATGTGCGTGGTGAGGAAGGAGGAGTCAGGGAAGGTTTAGGCCACTATCACCAGACAGGGGATAGAGAGGAGGGAGGCAGGAGGAAGGATATGAGGAGTGCAACCGTGGTCCTGCTGAATTTGAGGTGCCTATGCGACATCCAGATGGAGATGTCCAACAACAGTGTGCATCTGATGCTGACACTTTGGGAAGACTCAGGTTACAAGTCATTAGTATATGAGTTGTGGTTAAAAACATAGGAGGGGCCCTAGCCGGTTTGGCTTTGTGGATAGAACATCGGCCTGCGAACCAAAGGGTCCTGGCTTCGATTCCAGTCAAGGGCACATGCCCGGGTTGCGGGCTCGGTCCCCAGTGGGGGGTATGCAGGAGGTAGCTGGTCAGTGGTTCTCTCTCATCATTGATGTTTCTCTCTCCCCCTCTCTCTTCCTCTCTGAAATCAATACAAATTGTTTCTTCTGTTTTAAAATAGGATTTAAAACTCATTTAAAGATTTCTTTTCCTTTTTTAAAAAAAAAAATTCTGAAACAGACCTGTTTTGTACCAAGTTATTTTTGGGATAAATTTTACTGGTTGCTGTTGTGGAGGAGGTGGCATTTTCACCTTTGCCATAATAAACAGAAACGTGTGTAGAAAAAAAATATATATGTGTGTGTGTGTGTGTGTGTGTATATATATATATATTTAAAAAAACATAGGAGGGGATTTGCCCAGCTGATATGGCTCAGTGGTTGAGTCAAGAGGTCCCTGATTAGATTCCCAGTCAGGGCACATGCCCGGGGTTTCAGGCTCCATCCCCAGTAGGGGAGCGTAGGGGAGGCATCCGATCGATGTCTCTCTCTCATCAATGTTTCTATCTCTCTATCCCTCTCCCTTTTTCTCTCTCTAAAATCAATAAAAATGTATTTTAAATCAAAATATGAGGGGATGAGATGGGTCATGGTGATGTAGTGAATTAGAAAAAAACTGGGTGGAGGATAGAAAACTGGGGGAACTAACATTTGAGGGGTGAGAAGAAGAGTGTGAGAGAAACAGAAGGGACATCTGGAGGGTGTGATGTCGTAATGCCAAAGGAGTAATGTTTCCAGAAAAAAAATTGTTAAACGTAGATAAAGCTCCAGAAAACAAAGGCTAAAAACGTGAGCTTTGAAAAAACAGTAGCTAAGTTAAAAACAGTGATGATAACAGAGGGAGATGATGGACCAGTGAACATGTGGCGGTGTGTCATCCTTTGTTCCTTCCTTTCTCTCATCCCCCCTCTCCAGCTATCAGCAAGGTGTCTGTGTTGCTTCTGTTTCCTGGGTCAGGCCACTTCTTGCGACCTCTACTCCTACCGTTCTGGCCGAGCCACCAGCATCTCTCCCTAAATTTCCACAGTAGTTTCCTTACTAGATTTTTTGCTGTTTCTCTTGACTCTCTCAGACCTTTCCCCACACAGCAGCCAGAGAGATGTTTTAAAAATGTCGATCAGATCATACCGCTCCTCTGCTTAAAGTCATCCAATAATTCAAAAAATAAAAGAGAAGAAAGAAAATCATCCAATAATTCTCATTGCGATCAGAATAAACTCCAAATACCGAGCTTTGTCCTAAAAACACAACCTGGCCCACCCTCGCCCTTGGCCCATGTGTTTTGGCCTTTCTGGCCTTCTTTTGTTTCCTCAGATGCTCCCGGTTAGTTCCTGCCTCAGGGCCTTTGCACTCGCTTCCCTTCTGCTCAGGATGTTCTGGCCGGCTCTTCCCCATCATTTGCTTGCACAGCCAAAGCTACTTCCTCAAAGAGGACTTTCCTGCCTGTTTAAAGGAGCATCACCCCCACCCCCATTACCCTGGTTTTATCGGCCTCATTATATTCATCGGTAACTGAAGGGATCTTACATAATTATTTACTTGTGTGTATTATTTGTTTCTCGATTCTAGGGTAAGAACTCTGGGAGAAAAGGGACTTTGTTCAGGACATAGTAGGCACTTAAGTATTCTTACTTAGAAGAATAGTGTTGAAAGTGCTCTTATGAATAAGAACAGTGTTGAAAGCCCAACAGAGATTAGAAAATGAAACTGCAGGGGCTCTAAGCCACACACACTTGTGTGATTTTTGTTTTTCAACAGAGACCATAAGAAAAGGTTGATTATCTCATGTGCCTGTGCTGAAGACAGTTTCCAACAAGTGTTTCGAAACATGGACAGGGTGGCAGAGGCATCTTTGTGAAAAGTAGAAGCACTCCCAGCATGGCCAGTTCGAATATTTATGTTCTTACTTATCGTATACAAATTCCCTCAGTTTTATAGTCTTGTAGGTAGGTGTGTTGCCAAGTTGCGGGAGAAATCTGCTGACTCCGTTTCCAGCCCCAGCGCGAAGCTGTGTTACACGGGTGAAATCAGGTTACTGAGATAGGTCTGGTTTCCTTGGTGACCTGGAAGGTTCAGTTATATTTGAAATCGCTGAGGAGGAGGAGAACCTGATAACAGCAGTTCTGTGTCTTCCTTAGGGAAGGAGCACTTTTTGATCCTTAGTCGAGGCTGACGACATGCCTCCTGGGTTGGTGAGGGTTGACCTCCGGGCCAGCGCCAGCCAGCCAGCCAGCGGGCTGAATGACACGTCCAAAGTGTGTCCTATGCCAGCGCTGGGTAATTGCATCATGACTCCTCGGGCTCTCTGTTTTGTTTTGTTTCTGCAGGTAAACGCTGTAACTAGGGTGACGGATAGCTAGCTTACTGTGGAATGTGCTAACCATCTTTCTCTGGCAGGATGACAACAAAGGGCCAAGTCATTTTATAAATGGTAGGGCAACCCAATCTACTCCGTAATGTCTTTTTCCTTGGTAGCTGGTTTATCAAATTTAAGCCCTCATGCCATTTGTTGGCAAGGTTTGTGTGCCAAGGTCTGTGCTAAATACTTTTCAAAGGTTATCTCATTTCATTCCCAGGGCAATATTAGGGGGTGGGTACTATTATTATCCTCATTTTACAGATGAGGAAGCTGAGACTCAGAGGCGACGTGGCTTTTCAGGATCACACATCTTGTAAGTGCTGGCTTTGGGGTTTTAGAAAATGATCGCTGCTGATGCTGTCTGCTGAATTCTCTCCTAATACTGTAAGCCACGGTGGGAGGTAACTCTCGTTTTCTGCAATTACTGTACCTGATATTCAGCCTCCACCTTGTGCTGCATGTCCCGCAGAGATTGAGCATCACTGAGGAACTTCTGTCTGTCCCTTGCTTCATGCAACATGATTCTTAATCCCCGACCTGCATATGAAGGAGAAATAAATGTGCTGTGACAGAACCCTTTGTGACTTTGCTGTATTTGGAATTAGTATCATTGCGTTCATTCCCCTTATTAATCTAATTTCCACTGTTTGAAAGGCACAGATGCTCCTTTCAGACTGAAGGGACTCTTTGTATCAGTGTGGATGCCCTTACCACCCTCCAGTTCTGGGCGTAAATAATGCAGCCATCAGCTGGCTTTGGTGATCCTGTCTTGGTTAGTCACAGGAGTTAGACCGACAGACACTTGATTCAGAAGAAGGCCTACAAAGTGACAAAAAAGAAAACCCAAGAACCTAGCTAAGTTATCAGTGACTGAAGTTATGAGCCCCTGGGAAGTGAAAGTCATTTATTCAACAATGATTGCACCCCTAATTCCAACCCAGGCGCTATGCTGGGCACAGGGGTCTATAGCACTGGGCAAGATGAATGTGGCCCCTGCCTTGAGGTGTTTGCGGTCTAGGGAGAAAAGACTGACATTGAACAAGTGAACCTTAATTGTGATAAATGCTATGGAGACGTATGGGGTTCCCTGAGAGTGTTATTATGGGGGGTGGGGGGGGGCATAACCTGGGCCAAGAGGCCAGGTGTTCCTTAGGAAATGACGCTGGTTTGCGAAGGAGCGAGGCAGGTAAGAAGCAGGACAGAGAGCATCTCGGACAGAAAGGACGGCAGGTGCAGAAACTGCAGGGCAGGAAGGGGCTGAGGTGGATGAGAAGCAGGCGGCCAGGGCAGTTGGAGCACAGAGATGGGGAGAACAGCACTAAAGGGCTGGAAGGTGGGCAGGAGCCAGCTCATGGGGGTGGGGCCTTGAAGCTCATGAGCCATAGCAGGACGCTGTAAGGTTCCAGTCTGGGGAGTAGATTTGCATTTTTAAAAGGTCCCAATAGCTGTTATATGGAGAATAGATGGGGGGGGGGGGTTTCAGTAAAAGTGGAAGTGGAAAGACCATTGGGAACATACTATAGTATCCAGATGAGATAAGATAGTGACCAGACTTAGGTAGCAAAAGTGGAGATGAGGAAGAGGAAGAGGTGGGGGATGAGGGGAAGGAGGAGGGGGATGAGGGGAAGGAGGAGGAGGAAGAGGAGATCAAAGGTACTATTTATTGAGCCTCTGCAAGTTATAAACATGTATACATATTAACTCATTCAGATCCTCACAACCACCCTCTGAGGCAGGCACTGTATCTCTATATTGTAGCAGAGGAAACGGAGACCAAGGAATTCCGTAACTTGCCTAAGGTTAGAGAAATACTAAGTGGAAAGGTTGAGATTTGAACCCAGAGAGTCTCAGGCCAGTGCCCACAGGAGATACGCAGGAGAGGAAGTCATCAGGAGTTGGTGATGACATGAATGGTCTGGGAGAGGGAAAGTGAGATAGAAACATCAATGATGAGAGAGAATCACTGATGGGCTGCCTCCTGCGTGCCCCCTACTGGGGATGGAGCCCACAACCCGGGCATGTGCCCTTGACCGGAATCAAACCCGGGACCCTTCAGTCCATAGGCCGACACTCTATCCCCTGAGCTAAACCAGTGAGGGCTCTACATGTATTTTTTAATGACCATGTGACAGGTGCTGTCTAGGCTTTGGGGAAACCGCAGGATCAGACAGACAACATTCCTGCCCCCAGGTGTCTACATTCTGCCACTTTTCTTCATTCTCTGTGTTTTCAGTTATGCAGACATTGGCGGAATCAGCTTGCCCCTGATTCATGGTGACCCAGTGTCTGGTCTTGTTGCTGTGAAATCTTCCCAGGTTCATCGTCTAGCCCTGAGCAACAGGAAGAACTAGTGTGGGTCCCTCAGGGGTTATTTTATCTTAAGTACAGAAACATGGTCCTTTAAGAGTCGAATCTAAAACTAGTTTAATAGGCAGTTCCACAATCTATACACAAAACCTAAATCTCTGAGCCTTTTAAAAGTCACTTATGAGATTATATTTTATTTTTTATTTTAATCCTCACCTGGGGATATGTTTAGTGATTTTAAAGAGAGAGGAAGGGAGGGAAGGAGGAGAGGGAAGAGAGAGAGTAACATCGATGTGAGAGAGAAACATGGATTGGTTGCCTCCCATATGCACCCTGACCAGGGATCGAACCCACAACTTAAGTATGTGCTCCAGCCGGGAATCAAACCCGCAACCTTTTTGGTGTATGCAGCGATGCTCCAACCAACTGAGCCATCTAGTCAGGGCAAGAGATTATATTTTAAAAGATCACTTTTAACTTTTCACATGAATTTGTACTTGCATAAAATGAAGTTCCTACCCTTTTCAGAAAACGATGGTGTTAAAACAGGCAGAAAGATGAACCCCTGATGCTACCGTTGGAAAGAGAAGCCTGTCTGAATATTAATCAGGCCGAGAACATAAGGAATCATAATGAAAATATGTTAATGGTTGCTAAAGGGGCACGTGCCAGAGTCCACTGGATGACACGTTCTGGTTACAAAGTTAATGTAGAAAAGCCAGCTAATCTATCCTGCTTTAATGCGGTGTTATTTTAAGGAGGCTTCCAAATCAAGAGCCATGAAATAACTTTGTTTAAATAGGTAGGAAATAACACTATTTGAATTACTTGCTAGGTTACCGCTGACTTCACAATCACCTGCCAAATAAAGGACTTTACAATTGCCTACAGAAGTCTCTCTTCCCTCCCATAAACTCTCTATGGATAGACTTTACCGTAAAAATGATTATTTAGAAGCATCATGGTGCCACATGTGATTTTTTTTATTTAAATACATCAATACTTTGTGAGATTAAACAAATACTATCGGACTAAGGAAACAGATTGTGAGAGGCAGATCCAGGAGATGGGTGATCGCCACCGTTTAGGCAAACATTCTCCACATTTCTGAAGTGTCCCTTGAACTTCATACTGCACTGCAGGTTTGAAAAACTGACCAGGATGAACAAGAAACAGAAATGACTGTATGGAAATAAATCCACATGATATCACGCTTGATCCGTGGATCTTAGCTTTGAGGGCCTACTCAACCAGATGGCCATTTGAAGCCGGAAAATTTTCCTCAGCAAATACAGACAGGTGGAAGGGGGGAGAATGATGCTAAAACGTGGGCAAGGCAAAGATTTCTAAAATAGCATCCCGTATTCGCTTGTTTCTCACCTTTGAACTGCTTTTCAATTTAAAACCCACTCATGGTCGTGCACGCTTCTGTTTTAAGTCTCTGGTGATACTATATTGGGCCAAATCTGTGCTTTAGACATCAACATAAGAAACCATTTTAAATTGGGAGGGAAAAGAAAAGGGGAAGGAAGTAGGAGGCATGTGGGAAAGCAAGAGTGATGATCCTTCTTGGCCTCAAAATTCTACGTATCTGTGAAATTTCAATGAGGAATATTCTAAGAACTTGGTGACATATGCATTCCTCTCTCGTGTAAATTTCCAACAAATTCCAATTTCCCTGACTAAGGAGAGCAGAATCTGATTGCGTGAATATTTTTCAGTTCTCTAAAAATAAAAAAAAATATATATATATCTACAGCTATGCTTTTCTGTTCTGTGGCCACATTTGTCAGAATTTATTTGAAGGGATTTCTTTTTAATCACCATCGAGCTATTTCACTGTTTCCTTACTATGTTCTCATATTAGAGATACCATTAAAGTTAATATTTTATTGGTTCAGCAATAAGGAAAAATGTAAACTTAAGCCCCTCTTTAGGCTGAAGTCTCCTTTGAAACAAAACCCAAATGGCCATATTAATACCTGACAATCCTGTGTATAAAGTCCCCCTAAGATGTACAAATTGCCAGTTATAAAAACAGCCATAGGGATATAAATACAGCATAGGGAATCTAGTCAATAATATTTTAATAGCTATGTCTAGTGTCAGATGGGTACTAGACTTATCGGGGCAATCACTTCCGTAAGTTAAATAAATGTCTCATCACTGTGTTGCACACCTGAAACCAATATAATAGTGTATGTCAACCATAATTTGAAAAATAAAAAATATTAATGCTTCCTGTTCCACCACTGAGTGCCTAGGACTTGGGAGATCTTATTCATCCGTTTACACAGTTCATTTGTAATGCCAAATATCTCAGGTTTTGTTTAAATCTTAGCTTTAAAAGACTTAGAGTTTCAAAATCTTATTAAAATGTCTTGAGTCTAAGCAACAAAGATGAGTGATTCTGGCCTCACGCCCCGATACTGAGAGAATACTGTGACCAAAATTAAAGAACAGGAATTGAGGGGTGGAGGGGTGTGATTTGACTCTTCCAGTCAGTTTGGCTTAGGAAATCAGGGGCTGGCCGAGGGGAGGAGGGGGGGTGCGGCGGGTGTCCTTGGGGGTGACTCTTCACTGCATTGTGAAACGGTGAGAGAGATGGGCGGCCACACGCTGACCATCGCTTCAGTGGGTGGGTGGTCATGTCAAGCAACAGCAACAATTCCGCACGCAGAGGCCGAGGGGCCACGTGCACCTCTCCTGGACCGCCGGCCAGGGCAGTCGCGGGCAAGTTGTGTAGGGGCGGGCGGCTGCCAGCTGCAAATAAATGATCAGAGTCCCGCAACCAGTCCCTCGGAGCCAGAAAAAGCGGCGTGGTAACAGCAGGAGGGAGGGGGAGGAGCGAGGGGCCAGGGGGCCTCATTTCCCCGCGGAATCGTTTTAGTCAAAGGAGAGGCTGTCCCCTTCCCCGCCCCCCACCTCCGCGGAGGACTAGGGGCAGCTGGGGCGGCTGGGGCTGGGCCGTTACCTGGCAGGTCAGTCCTTTCTCCCCTGCGAGGGGCTAAGGGGCCCAGGGGCGGGGCAGTCAGGCAGGTCCCTGGTGGAGGAGCGGCCCATCAATCGCACCTTGGAGGCCGTCCCTGTGCTCCTCTTCCTTCTCCTCCTCTTTCCTCTCCCCTCCCTCTACCGGCCCCTCTTCTTCTTCCTCCTCCCCGGCTTTCCTCGGTGGCTGCCGGCCTTTCTAGGGGCGGAGGCGGTGGGGGCGGC